CCCCCCCGCCCCCGACACCCAAGCGAGGGACGGGGGGAGGGGGGGGGGGCGGGTGGAGAGAGAGAGAGAGAGAGGAGGACCCGCCGGGGAGCGCTCCCTTTGACAAGGCGGGGGGAGCCGTAGCAGCAGAAGCCACGTCGCGGGTCCGCCTTCGCGTCTTTTGTCTGCCGCGTTCTCCGGACAGCGCCGAGGCAGCTTCCCTCGCCCGGGCTCTTAACTTTTGCGACTACCCAGAAGAAAGGAGCTCTGAGGAAGGAAAGGTAGCGGCTTCACTCCCGCCACGCCACCAGCCGGGTTCAGACTCTCGCCGGGCGACTGGCACGTTTGAAAGAGACCCTTCTGAGCTGCTTGCCTCCTGAGGGGCAAAGCCGTTCCCTGGGCAGCACCAGCGAAGCCATGGGGGCTCATTTAATGATTGCCAGCAACCTCTAACGTCCCGTTATAGCAAAGTCTCTCTCTCTCTCTCTCTGGCATAAACTACAACACACATGCACATACGATAAACAAAGACCGCATACTCGAATTTCACACACACTCATGATATGAGATATAAGGGAAAGGATGTCACAGCGTTAAAAGTGTGGGAGGGTATGTGTGTGTTAACCTATCCATGTATATTTTTATGCTGGATATCTATAGATTTATGTAAATGTACATTAAGTAGCTTTATATGTAACTGCAATCTGTATTTATGTACCCTATATGCCATGCCACAACTATTACGTTGTTTCTGCGGTTGTGATCTATGGCCAGGGGTTTCTTTACCTGCTAACTACAAAGCTTCCTTTGAAGTTTTGTTCTGTTGCTTTTTTACAGAACAAAGCTTCAGAGGAAAAGAACTAAATATCAAACCGGCCTTCAGACATTACTAGGTGTCAAATGCCATCCTGACTCACTTAATTTGCTGCTTGTGTCTACTAACCAACCACTATCTCTTTATCTTGGGACTATGTATAGATGGCTGTGATGTAGTCCCACTCTTATGTCTGAGGAAGTAGATTTGATCCGTGAAAGCTCACATTAAAGTATAGCAGTTAGACTTTAAGGTACCACAACATTTTGTCTTCTTTAATTTGCTTTTGCTTTTGCTTCTTTTCTGATATGCATCTATATAAACGTATGGGTATATGAAGTTATCTCCAATGTGGTGTAGTGGATACCAACATCACTACCACAGCCTCCACCATCACTGTCTTCAGCAACACCACCAGTGCAACTGCAGGTTTCACTAGATCTTTCTCCAATTAAGAGGCAGCCAGTGCAACCCCCAGCACTGCCTTCTAAGTTTGCCCTCCTGCTACCTCTAATGATTCCTTTGTCTGCTAGTCTTACTCAGCTTTTTCAGCAGCAGCTAGGGCTAGATCCAAATTTCCTATGGCATTCTCAGTTCAAGTGGCCCTGTATCAGAATCAGCAAATGACCCATTTAAAAAATCTTGCAGGAATATTTTGATATTAATAATTCTCCAAGTGAGGAACAGATCTGATATGTATCTATATAATATGTATATGAAGTTATCTCCAGTGTGATGTATGCAGTGGTCTCCAACCTTGGGCCTCCAGATGCTCTTGGACTTCAACTCCCAGAAATCTTGGCCAGCAGAGGTGGTGATGAAGGCTTCTGGGAGTTGCAGTCCAAGAACATCTGGAGGCCCAAGGTTGGGGACCACTGATGTAGTGGATACAGTGACGGATTAGGACTCAAGAGGCCTGGTGTGAATCTGCTCAGCCATGGAAACTCGCTAGAGGTATGGAACTAGTAAAGCCACTCCTGAAGCATCTCACTTACTTTGAAAGCCCTGTTAGGGTTGCTATAAGTTGATTCCAACTTGACAGCACATAACAACCTATGAATGCACATAAATCATTTTACACAAACCTATGTATAATTTTCTGACATCCTTACCACTTTTTATTCTTTCTTAAACTTATTCCTTTTCCTCCTCCTTTTCTATTTTTAATCCCTTGCCCCATCTTTCATTTTCTTTCCTTCTGTTTTGCTTCTTAACATTATTGGATTTTAATTAATTCCACTGCCACAATCATTAAAGAAAAGCAAAGTGCAAGTCACTGTGACTTAACAAGTCACACAAAGTGCAATTACATCACAGTCCGATACATAGCTGAACAGAATAATCTTGCAGCATTTTAAAGACGAATAGATTTATTCTTATAAGAATTTGCATGGATTATAGTGCCCTTTCTTCAAATGCATGGGCCTTTATTAGGATTATCCCATGTCCCAGGAGACCACCTGGTAAGAGACCACCAGTAAAGGCTGATGTCTCTGAGGTTGAAAATAGGGCAAGTACCTCCAAGGATCAGCTTGATAGCATCTTTCACAAGAAGAGGGGGAATCTCTCAAGTGGGAGCCTCAGATGTGAAGGTGTTCTACAGGTGAAGTAGTATGGAATTGTATGGAGTGATCCTTATGGGTAATGCATCAGAGTTTGGAGGCAGGAGTGGAAGATCTAAAGCAAATCAAAGCAAAGCGTGATGCTTATATACCGCCCCATAGTGCTTCAAGCACTCTCTGGGCAGTTTACAAGTTAATTATGCAGGCTACACATTGCCCCCCCAGCGAGCTGGGTACTCATTTTACCGACCTCAGAAGGATAAAAGTCTGAGTCAACCTTGAGCCGGCTACCTGGGATTTGAACCCCAGGTCGTGAGCACAGTTTTAGCTACAGTACAGCAGTTTAACCACTGCGCCACGAGGCTCTGAAACTGCTAGTTGCACTGGTAGTGATGCTGATGGCAGCAAAGGAGGAGGTGGCAGTAATGGTGGTGCTTTGCAGGGAGTAGGAATTTTTTCCAGAGCTGGATGAACAAAGTTGTGAAGGAGTTGAGGAGAGGCTTATAATAAGTTTTATCCTATTTCCTCGTTTTCTTCGGTACATCCTCCACTTCAATCTGCAATGCCTTTTCAACCTTCTCCGTCTAGCGCCGGAAAAATTCAAAGCATGACTCCTACTTCTCTGCAAGCTCCATTAAAAAACAACACTACCATAGCTGCCACTTCCTCCTCCACCATCACTACCTTCAGCAACACCGGTACAGCTGCAGGTTTCACTAGATCTTTCTCTCTCCAATTAAGATGCAGCCAATACAACCCCCAGCAATGCCTTCTCAGCTTGCCCACCTCTAATCGATGCTCTGTCTGCCGGTCTTACTCAGCTCTTTCAGCAGCAGCTAGAGCTAGATCTAAACTTCCTATGGCATTTTCAGTTCAAGCAGCCCTGTGCCAGAATCGCCAATGACCAATTTTTTTAAAACATGCATGGGAATATTCTGATATTAATAATTCTCCAAGTGAAGAATAGATCTAAGAAATCTGGGCATTCCCAAGCTGTTGTCAAATGCTGGTTTCAAAACACGCTGTTTAAAGAAAGGCAAAGTAACAAGGATTTTCCATACAATTTAGTAATCTTCTCATTGCAGTTTTGGAAGATATAAGATCTGAGCCACGGCCAATTTTCTTTAGAACACTATGAATCTGAGTCAGCTTTCAGCGAGTAATCACCTGGAACTAGATTTAATGACTACCAGCTTAGTCTTACTTTAGTATAGTATGTCACAACTGGAGTAGGCTCATTTGAATCAATGGGACTTCTGGAGGAGTTGACTCACCACACCCCTATTGATTTAGTGGGTCTACTCTAGTATTACTTACAACACAAAGCAATAGGATTCCAGCTTATTTCTGACTAGACATGTATAGTACTGAATTGGAGTACTTGACTGCAGAGCCAGAGATCAGGTGTTACTGTCCTTGCTATGCCTCCTGGGAGAAAAGGAAGGCTGTGTAGCCTTGGATGAGACACAGGGCACTCAAGAAGAAAGGAGTGGTAAACCACTTCCTAGTACTTTATATGAAGAAAACCCTGAGAAGGATTGCCATCAGTTGGCATCAATTTAACAGCATTTAATTATTGAAACAGTGGTTCTCGACCTGTGTCCCCAGATGCTCCTGGGCTGCAATTCCCAGTCCTAGTGTAATGTTCTACTGCCTCTCTCAAGAGGATCTGCTACTTCTTAAAAGGAAGTGCTACCTGCAGGGTGGATTGTGCTGAACATTATTGTATTTGTATTTTACCCTTCCTTTAATGAATTATTTGGGAAGCATGCATTCCTCAAGTCCACCCACAATCTTCTCAATTTGCTTATGAAGTAAGATAAGGTAGACTGATTAATAACCCGTCCAAACTCATCTAGCGAACTTTGTGGATAAATGGGTCAGTAATGTTGGGTTTCCCCAGTCATACTCCTAGCATGCTTACTGTTATATGATAATGGCTTTAATATTTCCATTTTGATTATTATTGAGACTGCATTATGAGAGCATTTAAATACAGGTGAACCTCCATATCTACTGGGGATCGGTTCCAAACCTCTGCGTATACTGAAAACCTCAGATAATAGCAGACAGACAGACAGACAGACAGACAAGATAGATAGGGGAAACAGAAAAATATTTTCACATACATTGTCAGAACTGGCCACTAGAGGGCGTCATAGACCATGCTAATTATTCTTCAATAGCAAGTATTCATAGCACA